CACAAGGAGGGTCTCCCGGTCCCACAGCAGGGCCAGTGGGCCAGGGAGCAGGACGCTCAGCTTTGATGACTTTGTGGAGTATTGAGTCTCACAGATTTGTCATTCATTGCACAGCTTCTCTCTGCACAGCCCACACAGCTAATCCCTGTACTATATTTCTCTCAGTTTTCCCTCCTCCACCCACACTTCTGCTGACTTCTCTCCGCACAGGAGAGACGGAGCAGCTGAGGAAACAGCAGAGCAGTGGAAATTTTCTGAAAGTGTTTTGAGCCCATCTAACCTGAGGAGAGTATTCAAAGAAAAACAGGAAGAGGGTGAGTAGGAGCTCCCTCAGCCCCTGGCACATAAGCCAAGGACTGTCTCTCCCACCCACCTCCAATCCCAACAGGAGCTGAGACCAAGTCTCAGTGCCCACAAGTAAAAATATGCAAATTTTTGTGAGGATTATGGAATGGAGGCAATTGCTCAGCTATTCCAAACACTGCATCACAAAACTTGGGAGCACAGTAGGTTGATGCCATTCAAACACCTATCATGACGCTCCCTCTCCCCCTCCCTTCTCCCCCTCCCCTCTTCCCCTCCACTGTCCCTCTCTCCCTCTCTCTCTTTCTAGCTAGACATCCTAGGCAGTTAGATTCCTTGAAGTGGGCAAAGACAAAAGGTGACTGGCTGATCTCATCCATTCACTCATTCATTTAATAGACCTGTACTGAGTATCTACACAGCTAAGCTCTCCATCTTTATTGACTTTATGGTCTAGGCACAATGTAACTGAGCCACACTTAGAAGAAGTAATCTTTTATCTACTTTACTCCCCTTCAGTGCCTTCAGGATCAATTATTGTTTCTAGTTTAGGACAGGGTTTTCCATGGAACCCAAAGCTTCTATAAAGGTTGTATAACCCATGAATAAACAGGAGTATAAATGTTCTTCTCTTTCACTGGTCCACAGGAAGGTTTCCAGCCCACAGATTCATCCTACCTCTTTGTTAGGTATCCAAGCACTAAAATTAACACATGCACCATCTTCTCCACTCTGTTGACACAATTTATTTTTTTGAGATACCCTCAAAGCCAATCTAACTTTTCTTATGGTGGGTATTGTGTGTTTGACATTTATTCATTCGAGTAACATATATTCACTGAGTAGCCACCATATACCAGGCACTGCCTCAGACACCGAGACAGCAATTCTACATAATGATTCCTACAGGAGCCAACAAATGAGTGGTTGCTTGCTGCTCTTTCCAAGGATAAAGAACTTTAATGACTGGCTGTTGTGCCCCACCCCTCAAAAGCAAAGTAATAAAGTGGTTCTAAAATAATGGAAGAAAATTAGGAATTGTTTCCACTTGTTGACTAGAAGTAATCAAATTCTGTGGGGTTTTTCATCAACTCTACTGTCTGAAAAGTTCTCCACAGCTGACATCTTACAGATTTTTAGAGAATGTAACTAAATAGTTAATATTTTAGAGAGTTTTAAAATACCAGGCCCTGAAAGGATATTTTAAAGTTAGTTAACAGAACCAAATGGTAAGAAGACCTAAGACAGTTAGAGCAGAACTGCCTCCCTCTTGAACTTGTGGATTAGAAAACCAAATGATACAAATGGGCTTTACAGTTCTGCATCTCTGAGGTTAAGGATGAATTATGTAATAGTCTACTGAGGCCAGCCTGAGCTATAAGACATTGAAGTTTGCATTGATGAGGGATGGCTCTGATGGGATGGGTCACCCATAGACTTGGCAGATAAACAGGGCAGTAATTTGTGTCCAAAATTTTTTTCTTGCTCCAGTAATATATCTATTGTCAGACTTAGCAGGAATCCAGAGGCCAGAAACTCATCCATGGACTGTGAACTGGAAATACCGTTGCACCTCCTGGTCCCGAAGGGTCTTTGAGAAGCTAGTTGGGAAACAGCTCCATCTCCAACTCAGCCCCAAACTATCAACAGGGCTTTGCATCATGTGGACTTTGCCCTTCACTGTTACCTTTGCTGGACTATTTCTACTTGATGATAAAGAACTTCTGTATTGTTTTAACTCTACTACAATCTTCTACTTATCTATCCCCTTATATGCTTTCTTGCAACAAGAAAAAAAAATGAACTCACAAGGAATGTCTCAAATAGAATAAACTAATGATAAGTTTTAAGTTTCTGTAAGTCTTCTTTGGTTTTGATGAGCTTGATAGATGGCCATTTTTTTCCCTACACATGGAGACGTCATTGGTCTCTGGCTTTGATATAGGGATTTGTTTGGTATCTATTATTGATATCAAATAAACTCATTTCTAGAAATAGTTTGAAGGATCCACAACGATCAGGCAAAGGGAAAATATCCATTTAAGGAGATTTGAGTGGTGGCACAGTTAACCTTTCTTATCTGCGTTTTTCAAGTAACACAATAACTTCCAGTTGTCAGGCTGTTGAGGGTGTTAACTCAGCATAAAGACAAGGGTTTTTAAGTAGTGGAGACTTTAATTGAAATTCTAATCCTAAACTCTTACTCCATCATCCCTAGGCCAAGTTTAAGCAATCTGAGGTTGATTTAATGGAGATCACTACCTATCTACCTCATTGGATTGTTGAGAATGTTAATTCCAGGTATTCTACAGCCCTCAATGGATACTGTTTCCTCTTCTGCCTCCCCTCTTCTCTCTCCCTGTACCTACTTTATTCAATGACAACATAACCCAATTTACTCTGGGAGAAAGCTACTGGGGTTCAAGGTTTCCAGATTTCTGCTGAATTAAGCATCCAACTATGCTGATGGGATGTACACAATGTCAGCTGGCAACTGATGCCGTAACCGAGACAAGCAGTTTCACAGCGCTCCTTAACAGTCTGATCTTGCCTTCAGAGAATAGTCCCAAGACTTGGGCACTTCCAAGACAGTATTCTCCTAACTCTAACAGAACTTCAAAAGTAAGGTTCAGACCTTCCCTACATGACATCGGACAGGGGTTAACAGCTGGGACTTTCACATCTGACAAAATGGGGTTGGAATAAGGATTGCCACATGAGAGTCAAGCAGCCTCTTCAGGATTTCTTAGCATTCCTATGCAGATTAAGTGAAGCCACGTGCTTACAGCACTCACAGTGCTAAGAACAGAGGGTGCTTGGCAAAGGGCATCTGTCTTTTCTCCCTCCGACCTGCCAAGTGCCATCTCCCAGCAACTTGCTGGCTCTAAGCCTGCCTTCCAGCTGTGGGCACAGGAGTAGAGAAGTTGTTTCTTCAACGTTTGCTGTGTTCTTACTAATACTAAAATGCCTACATTACCCAGCCAAGCCTGGTGCATCCTCTGATCATTATTTTGTGAAGCCTGTCTTTGTGAGAGAAACTATGTTTACTGCTCAACCACACGAAAACTCACATCATGACTAAATAGTTGTTGATCGATCCTGATGATAATTAAGAGCATAAATAATATACTTTATTAAAAAGCTGTCTAGGACAAGGGATTTAGCTCAGTGGCACTGTGCCTGCCTTGCAAGTGCAAGGTCCTGAGTTCAATCTCCAGTACAGGGTGGCGGGGGAGCCATTGGTGCTCAGCTTTAAAAATAAATAAATAAATAAAATAAAAACCTGTCTAATTTTATACCATTATTCTCATTTCCACATCCTACCAAAATAATTTATCTCAGTAAATTTGGCTAAAAAGAAAAGCTAAGCCTGGTATTTCTATAAAATGGAATATTACTCAGCCATAAAGAATGAGAAATTAGATTCATTCATAGGAAAATAGATACATATTGAGGATATACTCCTAAGTGAAATAAATAAGTCACACATGTGTAAATACTGAATAGTTTCTCTGATGTGGATAAAATATAATAGTACATAAGATCCTAATGATATAATGGATAATGTGAAATAGGAAGAAAGGGGCTAAAGGTGTAGGGAAAGTGGGAAGGGTAGGGGAAAGCTAATAAGGGAAAATAAAAATATGAGAAAATTAAGAAATGGAAATGCAGTGTTTGTAAATAAGAAGGGAAGAGGGGTGAAGGGAGGGCAGGGACATGGGGAAAAATGAGAACCAAGACCTGTCATGTAAAGGTACAAGATCCCAATGATGAATGTAACTGTACTGTATACCTAAAATGTACCAATAAACTCAATGAGGAAAAAAAAAAAGAAAGAAAAACTAAACCAAGCATGACGGCACATACTGAGTCAAAAAAAGTCACAATTCAAGCCCAGCCTTGGCAATTTAGTGAGACCCTGTTTCAAAATAAAAAATAAATAAAGTCTGAGGATGTAACTCAGTATGAAGGTGCTGGATTTAATCCCCAATACTGCTTCCTCAAAAAAACCTAAAATTGCCTCTTATCAAAGTATGAATATTAATAATAATCTGAATGTCCATCAAGGTATGCAAAGGTGCATGATAGCCAGGACTTTGAGGCTAAGAAAACACCACCTCATAAGTGAGCAAATTTGTACCAAATGCCTAGTGGATGTATGTCCCTTTATTGATAAATTTGTTTCATCGTTTTAGTGAGAGGGCTTCATATTTCTTTTCTGCTAGAAGAATCTCTATATCCTTCCTGATCTTGGCAAGGCTGGGTATATATGTCTCTGTGCCTATATATGTATGTAATTAACACCCTACATTACTGATATAGCACTGGGGCACTCAGACTGACATTATACACATGCTTACTATTATACCTGTCCTGAGATAGGTGGTATCTATTCTGATAGAGTTGGTTAAAAAAATGCATAAAATATGAATAATCCTAATGACTCAAGGAATGCTCTACTTCATTAAAATTTGCACACATTTTCCTTACAAGGGAATTACTATTCTACATGGCAGCGTGGGGTTTGTCACAAAGGTGGAGTTCATTGACAAACAGCAGTAGAGCTGCAAATCAAGTCAATAGCATCATAAGCTCAGCAGTACTTGGGAGATGCTTTCTTTGCTCTATGAGCAGAAGCTCAGGGTTAGCTAGAGCCAGAGCTCCATTCTCCATTCTCCCCACAGACAGGTGCTTACCTGAGGCCCTCGCCCTCTGGAGAGTGCTGTCTACAGTACTCCAGAATGTAGGATTCAGTGGCCTCTGGGTTGGCAGGTCGCCATCGGATGATGGCCATGTTCCAACACGTGGTACAGTCCTCAGCCCGAAATACAGGGGTTGAAGGGGCTGCAGAGAAAGAAGCAAGTCTGTCTAGAGCAATGCCAAGTATGCTTCCTTGGTACCTGGGAAGGATGCTTAGGCATGATTTTATTTTTAATTTCTTATCAGAAAATTCATTCTGGATTGAAAACCCAAAAGAGATTAAAATTTATATACTGAAAAGTCTCCTTCCCTCTGCTTTCCAAATTGTCAATTCTCAACCATCTTCCAATACCCTCTAAAATTAGCCTCCTATAAATCCCACCTGAGTCTCTTTACACATCAACTGTACAAGCAAACAAAAGGAAAGATTCTTGCCCTTCCCCCTTCACACAAAAGGTAGCCAAGATCTTGGCCTCAGTAGGTCTTCAATAAAGATGTCTTTCAAAAGATAAGAAAAAAGGATTAAGGGCTAGAGGGCAGGAGTAAACTATTTTCTTCCCCTGAGGCAGCTGCAGAGAGTTTACAGGCAATGCAGGATTGGCAATGCCACATTTCACTTCACCTTGAGAAAACATTTCAACAGAAAAAGGCGTTCCCTTTGAATACGATGGTTTAAAACTTTCTAGGGTCTCGTTGCACCCATGGCACAAAATCCAGGATTCTTACTTACAAACACAGTATCTTTGTGCCAACCTTTCTTACCTCATGTCTTTCCCGATTTTTAAGTCTAAGATCCTGCCTGCCCCCTCTGTCTCGAGAGCTCCTTGGGAGTGTTCTCATAACAATCTGTGCACATCTGGATCGTGGCCCTTCCAAACATTCTTATGATCTTTTTCTGACTCTGAGTTTCTTGCAAACAATAGCGCAGTCTTATTTGTTGTTGTATACTCAGCACTTTGCCCAACACCCAGCATGTAATAGATGTTTTGTACTTCCTGGTTGACCTCAAGAGTTTGTAAAGAATTGAATATTGCCTTCTAATGTCCCCTTAACATCTTCTTACCTGTTCTAAAAATTGCTCTTTCACTTGGAAGGCTGCATCCAGTGAAGTTCACAGCCATTACCCATACTTGATAGCATCGGTCAGGTTCCAAGTCTTCGAAAATACAGTAGCTTTCTTTTACTGTCAATCTGTATTCTTCTACCAGCTCTAGAAGAAAGTGCAATCAGAAACTCTAAGATGTCTTCCAGAATTAATTGGAAGTTATACCTACTGGAAAAAAAAGTAGTGTATGATTTTTTTCGGTACCAAACTGATAACCTTACAGGCATCATTATGTGATAACTAGTTCTTTCAAATATTTAAAGTAATAGCATTAAGTGATATTTAGGATGATGCGGTATTACTTGTGAGCACTTACCAGAAAATAATAGCATATTAGTAAGACTCTGAGCTTCATGTACCACGAGGAAAGTAACTTATTTCAATAGCAGCTATTAAAATTGCATAGAGTTTATGTTAGTTTAAATCATACAATATATTCTCAAGAAAATTTTTCAGAACCAATGCCATCATTTCATAGACTACCTCATAAAAAAGAACAACTCCACATTTTCTAAACTTATGGTGTTTCAAAACAGCTTTATAGATTAGTAAACAATTTTGGTATCCAATATGACTTTCCAAGTTTCCATTTCTTGCTTCTTCTCATGAAATTCCAAATTCTCAGCTAGGTACTGCTACCTTTTATAGGAATACTAAATAATTTAATGGATCTTATGCTGTTCTAGGAAGTAACTTTGCCCAATCATCGTCTTCCTTTTAAAATTTCTTAAATTACTTTCACTATTTTTTATTTTTTAGTAAATATTACTCAATACCATTCTGACTGCAGACCCAACTGGGCCAATCTGATTATTCTTACTGTAATTCTCTCATTTCAAAGAATTATTTGGTCCAAAAGAATTAAAAGAATCATACCACAGTGATATATGTGCACCTGTGTTTGTAGCAGCAGTTTGTAATAGCTAAAACTTGGAAACAGCCCAATGCCCATCAACTGGAGACTTGATAAAGAAGCTGTGGTTTTCCTATAAAATGGAATACTACTCAGTGATAAAGAATGAGCAACTAGAGACATTTATAGCTAAATGGATGCACATTGAGGCTATACTCTTAAGTGAAGTAAATAGGACACACTTGAGTAAATACTGAATAGTTTCTCTGGTGTGAAAAATTAAATGTGTAAATAAGGTTTAAATGGTATAATAGATAGTATGGAATAGGAAGAAAATGGCTAAAGGGGAAGTGGGAAGGGGAGGAGAAAATATGAAAAAAAGAAAAAATGGAAACAACGTCTTTGTAAATAGGGAAGGGTGAACAGGGTGAAGGGAGGGCAGGGGTATGAGGAAAAAAATAAGAACCAAGACATATGATGTAAAGGCACAAGATCCCAATGATAAATGTAACTGTATTGTTTGCTTTAAATGTACCAATAAACAATGGGGGAAAACAAAGAAATTATTTGGGGGGCCGGGGATGTGGCTCTGTTGTGGAGTGCTTGCTTAGTAGTTATGAAGCCCTGGATTTAATCCCTAGTACTGCAAATAGTAAAAATAATAATGATAATAATAACAATAATATTCCTTTCTAAATTAACCTATAGTAATTTCAGTTATCTTCCCTTATTGCTCCTGAATGTCATCTTCAAAATTCCCCCCATGAGGGGGTGGGCAGTGTAGCTCAGTGATAGAATACTTGCCCAGCCTGCATGAAACCCTGCATAGAAAAAAATTAATAAATAGAAGCTTCCAGTGAAGAATGCAGATTGACTTTTTAAAAAAGAATTTAAGAGCTAGCAGTTCTCTTCAATACCTCTCTTTTCCAATCAGCTATATAAATCAAGAGAGATGGTTCAGTTTAAAGAATGCACTAAGGATGAATATATATACTGAAAACTGTTTCTTCCATGCCTGACCACAGTTTCTCTGGACTCGCTCCTTTAGGCCCACACAACACATGCTACTGCAGCCCTTACCCACATGGCACCAGCTCACAGTGCAGATCCTCAGACTCATCAGCAAGGTCCAAGTCCCTGAGCCAATGAGACACAGGACAGGGCAGTGTTGGGTAGGGGTGGGCTGGAGATGAGGCACAAAACAAAGAAGTCCAAACCAGACGTGGTGGTTCATACCTGCAATCCCAGCAGCTCAGGAGGTCGAGGCAGGAGGACAATAAATTCAAAGCTAGCCTGGGCAACTTACCGGGACCCTTTGCTCAGTGGCACAGCACTTATCTAGCAAGGCCTTGGGTTTAATCTCCAGTACCACACACACAGAGCACCCCACACAGAACTATTTGTTAAGAAGATTCCTGAAGTGGCACGGAGTTTCATAATATAACGGGCAATTGGAGGAAATGAAGTGTGGCGTAACAAAATAAATGCAGAGATGAACAAACATAACCTATGCTTCTGAATCTGAAAGATCTGTGTTTGAATCCTGCCACAGTGTACAAGTTGTGTGGCCTTGGACAAACTATATGATCTCCTCATTTGCTAAGGGGATATAACACTTTTTGTGTTGTGACACAGATACCGTGACAGATCCTCATTAAACAGGAGTCTTTATAGAGAGACTCAGCCAATTTTACACTGTACCTGAGGAGGAATATAGGGTGTGGCAAAACTGGCTGGGAGGAGTGAGCAGAACCTGTAATTGCAAGATCCAGGCAGATGCCACAAAGAGCTCCTTATCACGTCTCTTCACGTTAGCCTGTCCTGTGTACCCCAGGGTGTACTTTTATTTTTGCTTTTCAGGTTTCCTTTTGTTTGGCCCAAGTTCACTCTGCAGAGCCGGTTTCTTCCTTACCTTCCATCCTCACTTTTTCAAATAAACGCTGTCATTGTTTTTGCTTGTCTTGCTCAATTCTTTGTTGAAGATGAGTAGGACCTGGAAACTAAGAGGCAAGCACCCCAAAAACCCGATAACTAAATTTGGTGAGCCATTTCTAAAAGAAGCTACCCAATTATATGCCTACATTTGCTTTCGCTTTTCCTGTACTTTTTTCTAAATGAATTATCACATTGTATTTCAAAAGACTTAAATCTTAGCAAGGGTGAAGTATGTTACAATTTACCTCTCATTACAAATCAGGCTCTGGAATTTCATAATAGGGTGTCAGTCCTGTGGGTCTCTCTCCAGCAGTCAATGCAGACTACCAGCTCTTCCTGCTCTGAGTCATCAGGAAGCAAAACCTCAACTGCCTGGCCGCCAGGCCTTAGTAGCAGTGCTGCCAGAGATCGCCAAAGAGGCTCAGTGTAAGACCTGCCATCCTCTCCCCTCACTAAACCCTTCCACTTCTATCCACACAGCAAGCTGGAGCACTAGGAGACCACACCATCCAAGGGCCCAGGCCTTGAGATTGTGGAAACTGACTTAATTTTTAAGGGTCGTGTGTGTGTGTGTGTGTGTGTGTGTGTGTGTGTTTATCAAAGATAGATCTAAGAATTGGCCAACTATGACATCCAGGGCTGTCTTTGCATTAAAATTACTATGGAATACACTACCCTGTATATATCTCGTTTCTCCTCTACAAAGTACAATACACTACACTCATCTTTCAGATGTTAGTGCTGATTAAAATTTTGCTCTCTTTGACACTCTGGTATGTTACCTCCTTAGTGAAAATGAGATTCATGCTTTTCTGAGAGCTCAAAGTCAAGTTTAAATCTGTTACGATCTCACGTTGACCATCATAATGATACTTATGTGTTTTTGTTTTCCTTGCTCTTGATTTCCAAGTACTGCTTTGTCATTTTGGTTTCATTATGTAGTTGTTCAGTTTTCACTGCTGTTTTGTAAGTGGCTACAAATGCCCTATGGAAAGAGTTATAATATACATATATTTAAATACTTCACACTCAGATACAGACATATGTACCATCATCTGTATTTGCATTAGCAAACCTACCATTTACTTCTTGGTCATCCTGTAGCTCCTCCATACAATAAACCTGGAAAGAATCAATGACATCTTCTTTGTTCATGCTCCAGTAAACTGCAATTGTCGTGCTTGTGGCTGAATTTGGTTCCTGGGGTTCTAGCCTTGGAGGCTGTGGAACTGGAATATAAACACGATTTCACTATAACTAATTCTGCTTTTATTTATTTGTTGTTATGCAAAAGTTACTTACATTTGCTGGAATATGATTCAAATAATACCAAAATAAAAGGAGTAAAACTACTGGACTCTCTGTTTCTAGCCCCAGCCCCAGCTTCATTCTTTGGCTGTGATTATGGTTGCAGTTGTGTATGTGTTCTTCCAGAATGTTTCTTGTGCAATTCTGTATAAGCACATGTCATACAAGTAGAAATAAACAAAAATGGCTCCCAAATTGGGATCACTTGATAGAAATCTTCTTAGAGTACTTCCTCTACTTAGAGCAATACATTTATACAGGCTAAAGGATTTATCAAATGACCTGGTTCTCCTTCAAAACAAGAAGCCTTTTGAGCATGCTTTGCTAGATAACCATTGCTGTACTGTTATATATCAAGAGAGAGCCTATACAGTATTGACAGTAGGGATCAATGAGACTTTTTTTAGATATAGTTGTGACATCAAGGCTGGAAAACACATGCATTAATCAAACATTAAAATACACTTTCTGAAACTACTATTCCATTTCTCTTCTCAACATGGCTATGCTTATATATGAACTACCTGGGAGAAAAGAGTACTCTATTAATTGAATCATATATAAAGTTTAGACATCTAGGACAAAAACTCTGCTGCTCTGAATTTTAAAGGTAATAATGTTCTCAAAGTGTTTTACTAGGGGTTTTTAGTTTACAATTTTGCATATTCAACATTAATGGTATACACAACACTGCAAATCAGTGCTCTGTGTGATTCTCTTCCAAAATTTATGATGCAAAATCATTGACCATATTTTAAAAGTTAAAGGAAAAGGTTATTCCCACAATTGAGAAGATATCATGTTTCAATTTTTGTGTGTGTGGTTAATTTTTCCCTAGCCAACAATTTCCTGAGAGATACAGTAAGCTTATGGAAATAAATATGGGCCACATTTTATGAGATAACTTTATTCAGTGCTGGCATCAGAAGGAAAAAAAAACAAAGGTTAGTTCAACAAGAAGGTGAAAATGAGAAAAAAAAATGAATTTAAAAAATGAAACAGACAGGTCTGCGATCACCCGGCGGCGTGCGCGTGAGCTCCCGGCCTGCGCGGGAGCTCCCGGCCTGCGCG